TTGCCGGTATTGTTTCAATGGTTGATAGTAAGAGCTATAGTAGTAGTTGCCGGTAATTGTTTCAATGGTTGATAGTAAGAGCTATAGTAGTAGTTGCTGGTAATTGTTGCAATGGTTGATAGTAAAAGTTGTAGTAGTTGCCGGTAATTGTTTCAATGGTTGATAGTTAGAGCTATAGTAGTTGCTGGTAATTGTTTCAATGGTTGATAGTAAGAGCTATAGTAGTAGTTGTAGGTAAATGTTTCAATGGTTGATAGTAAAAGTTGTAGTAGTTGCCGGTAATTGTTTCAATGGTTGATAATAAGAGCTATAGTAGTAGTTGTAGGTAATTGTTTCAATGGTTGATAGTAAAAGTTGTAGTAGTTGCTGGTAAATGTTTCAATGGTTGATAGTAAAAGTTGTAGTAGTTGCCGGTAATTGTTTCAATGGTTGATAGTTAGAGCTATAGTAGTTGCTGGTAATTGTTTCAATGGTTGATAGTAAGAGTTATAGTAGTAGTTGTAGGTAAATGTTTCAATGGTTGATAGTAAAGGTTGTAGTAGTTGCTGGTAAATGTTCAATGGTTGATAGTAAAGGTTGTAGTAGTAGCTGGTAAATGTTTCAATGGTTGATAGTAAAAATTGTACTAGTTGCTGGTAAATGTTTAAATGGTTGATAGTAAAAGCTATAGAAGTTGCTGGTAATTGTTTCAATGGTTGATAGTAAGAGCTATAGTAGTAGTTGTAGGTAAATGTTTCAATGGTTGATAGTAAAAGTTGTAGTAGTTGCTGGTAAATGTTTCAATGGTTGATAGTAAGAGCTATAGTAGTAGTTGTAGGTAAATGTTTCAATGGTTGATAGTAAAGGTTGTAGTAGTTGCCGGTAAATATTTCAATGGTTGATAGTAAAGGTTGTTGTAGTTGCTGGTAAATGTTTCAATGGCTGATAGTAAAAGTTGAAGCAGTTGCTGGTAATCGTTTCAATGGTTGATAGTAAAAGTTGTAGTAGTTGCCGGTCATTGTTTCAATGGTTTATAGTAAAAGTTGTAGCAGTTGCTGGTAATTGTTTCAATGGTTGAAAGTAAAAGCTGTAGTAGTTGTAGGTAAATGTTTCAGTTGTTGATAGCAAAAGTTGTAGTAGTAGTTGCCAGTAATTGTTTGATAGTAAAAGTTGTATAGTATGGTTGATAGTAGAAGTTGTAGTAGTAGCTGGTAATTTTTTCAATGGTTGATAGTAAAAGTTGTAGTAGTTGTAGGTAAATGTTTCAATGGTTGATAGTAAAGGTTGTAGTAGTTGTAGGTAAATGTTTCAATGGTTGATAGTAAAAGTTGTAGTAGTTGCCGGTAAATGTTACAGTGGTTGATAGTAAAAGGTGTAGTAGTTGCTGGTAAATGTTTCAATGGTTAATAGTAAAAGTTGTAGTAGTTGCCGGTAATTGTTTCAATGGTTGATAGTAAAAGTTGTAGTTGTTGCTGGTAATTGTTTCAATGGTTGATAGTAAAAGTTGTAGTATTTGCCGGTAAATGTTTCAATGGTTGATAGTAAGAGCTAGACTAGTAGTTGCCGGTAATTGTTTCAATGGTTTATAGTAAGAGCTATAGTAGTAGTTGTAGGTAAATGTTTCAATGGTTGATAGTAAAAGTTGTAGTAGTTGCTGGTAAATGTTTCAATGGTTGATAGTAAAAGTTGTAGTAGTTGTATGTAAATGTTTCAATGGTTGATAGTAAGAGCTGTAGTAGTTGCCGGTAATTGTTTCAATGGTTGATAGTAAAAGTTGTAGTAGTTGTATGTAAATGTTTCAATGGTTGATAGTAAAAGTTGTAGTAGTTGCCGGTAAATGTTTCGATGGTTGTACTTTTGAGTGTAACTTTGGTCAAACAATTATAACAAAAAAATTGAATGCTTAATTTTTATGGTTGGTTTTCTGGTTGTTCTTGGATTGTTAGTGTATTGCTCGTTGTCATCATTACTCTGATGGTTGAGTAGTTGTAATTGTTTTAAAAGAAATGAATTCTTTCGTTATTATATAGTTTATGGTTTTATAATAATTGAGAATATTATGGAGTAAGGTCTTATTTTTATTCACATATTGTTGTGTCATAAGTATGTTGTTATAAACCCGATAAATATCTCATAGAACACTGCTGTCTGATACTTTTTGAAATTTAAACTTCAGACTTGATACTAAAAAAATATTGCATAAAATGAATAGTGAATAAATGAAATAACACCCTTATAACATTCAACTGCCTTAAAATTCTTTATCAATAAAGATACAATGGACGTTGCCAAAAGTCATATATTTCTAAATATAATGGTGAAAAGACAACTATGGGGATAATATTATATTGCTGCTTTAGAATTCTTTGTCATGTAGGTTCCGCCTTATTGTAACCTTTTCATGTCCATCATATTGGTTGTTCTCTTTAAATAGAAACATCTGCTCAAATTAGCAGTCTATGATCCAGAAAGCTCTTCTAAAAGCGGTAGTCCAGGGGTTAAACGACTCCTAAGCAATAAATGATTACTAGTTAATCAACAAATAAGAAATCAATTTGTCGGTTTAATCACAGGTTTCGCCATTTTAAATCACAACCCAATTAAAAACTGGTTGATCTTTTCAATAGAACTTGGTGGTACAATATAATTGAGGGCTTAAAGAGCATCCATCACTTTAATTGTTAACGAGGCAAACTATCCTTTACTTAAATTATCTAACACCTGCCAGTATCTCTACCCAGGGATAGCGCTCAGGGTGGGGTAAAATTGATAGCGAACTGCCCCATTATAACACATCATGGCTAATTGGAGTAAGATTTATTTTCCCCCTTGATGTTATTGCAATGTGGTATGGAACTTTGAGACATTCAATACACAATACAAATCATGGGTGCACAATCTGAATTTGAAATTTGAGTTTTCGTTTTGAATTGGAATCTTCTCTTAGAATATGACTTGATGCATTGTGGCAACGATTTTATGTTTTCTTAAATGTTTACAAAATACACAAGTAAAACTTGAATAGCGCATGCCAATCATCACTCTAACGACCACGCCCTAAAGATAATTTACACCTATAGCTCCTGTTTGTGCAACCACTACACAATTTGTAACATACAATACATCGGACTATTTTTCAAAATGTATTCATTTAGGACAAGATTGAGAACCGTCACGGTGAAATACAATACCAGTATGAATAGTCACTACAAAAAGGGCAAGAGAAAGTGTCATGTTACTGTTTTAGTTTATAAAAATGAGATATATGGCTCTGTCAGTGATCAAATAGATACACGTTCACCATAATTGTAATTTCATTGAAATTTACACGAGGCAAGCAGTACAGCTTTGACATTAATATATCACCCCTTAAATACCGTCTTTTATTAGTCTCAATAAAATCATGTACCCATCTGTTAAAAGAGATATTTTGATAACTAAATAACATGTAGTTATGCGATGTAAGAGTGATATACTTGATAAATATTGTATATAGATATGATATAGAACACATAAATCTTTCACTTTTCAAACTCAAATTCCTTTATTATCAGAAGTCAGGTAATTCTAGATTCTTATAGAATAAAATCATACAAAAGCCTTCTCTTGTTTTTTCATCATAAAAGAAAAAACTGGAGTATTAAGATAAACAGACTATGTTTCCGTTCAATGCGATAATGAAAGAAATTAGCTGAAATAAACCACAAATGTTTGCAAATTTTGTAGAAATTCATCTGATAACGGAAAATTGTTCTTTACATTTGAGAGTTATTTACTTTTACAATTCAATAGAGTTTTATTAAAAGATGATGTTTTCTCTATTGTTGCTTTGTCTTATCGTGTTTTATACGCCAACATGATATGTACAGAGTATATTGTGTATATATTCTTCTCTAAAAATCAATTAGACACAATTATCGAAGAAGTTTTTCTTTGTCGTTGTTATTGTATTTGTTTATAAATGTCTGTCAAACCCTCGTTAAGTCAAATTTCTATAGGAAATTCAATTACTATACGATCCAATGCTGATGGTTGTTGGTGGTTTGAAATGTCAACATTTCAACAAGCTGGCAAGCTATCTTTTTAAACAGAGTAATGGGAAATTAGGAATATAAGAGTTATTTGAATTTTATCTAATCTAATGAAGTGTAAGAATATTATATAAAAAGAACTCTTTTCATCTCCTAAAAATAGTCTAGTACGACAAGATGATTCATATTACATCAAGTCAAGTCAGAATATGTAGTAACTTTTGTTTGGTTCCGGCTGTAAATAGCGAAAGTGTGATGCCGAAGAGTTTCTTGAAGGATAATACCCACATTTTTTGTGGATTTTGGATATTGTATATAGATTTTTTTCATATGATTAATTATTGCCCTAGCTGCAGGTACATAAAATTGGACAGTAGTGGTGTCCCAAAGGCAACTATAGTCATTTTTGAAAAATATTTTCTCATCAACTATTACTCTGGTAATTAACATTGAAATGAATAAACAAAAGTATGTACCAAAATTTTTTTTATTAAAAAATGAGGTAGAATATAAGTCGTAGCACTTTAATAATTAAACAATGCGTCAATTTTATACAATATCATGATTCAAATATCAAATCAAATAAAAACTCAAATATGGAGATCAGTCTCTCTGTGAGAAAGCGTTCGAAAGGGGTGAATTCAGCAAATTCCATGTCATGTAATACATTGACGACTCTTAATCGATTCAAAGACCATCAACATTTTGTTGGTTAAAAATGGTAGAGCTATAAGATTAGAGAGCACACTTATGCGTACTGATTATACGCAAATTAAAAAAGAAATCCGATAAAAACACCACTTTTATGTTCTGTGTTAATCAGACGAATCAGTAAGTTGTCTGATCTCATTCGCATGTGACGTCACATCTGATTTATCGTGTTCATCATCTGATTTATCTGAGAGAGACTGATTGTGTGTTTGTAGATCTTCTTCATCTTCTTCGCCTTTCCCCCGTTTGCATTTCGTTCTTCTATTTTGGAACCAAACTTTAACCTGAAAAAATAAATACGACGTTCAATTATTCAACGCACCAATTTCCACAAATAAGTAGGCTATTCCAATGAAATACAGAAGTTTAAGATTTATTTTTAGTTGTTTAACATTGTGAGACCCATGATAAGAATAATTTTTATTATATTAAAAATCTGATAGTTTCCACATAAAATTAAATTATAGCTTCAGAGTAGTCGATTCCGAAAGAGAATTGAAATCCAAAAAACATATTCTACAATCGACTATTTTTCAATTGTTATTTCAAATTTCCTGTCTAAAATAGCAATAACATGTATCATTTATCATTTCCGACAGGTTTTATAATGTTCAGACAATAGTGAACAGTGGGATGTCCCGACAGATTATGAACAGTATTGCTCAGTTATGACCAGAATGTATTTAATTTGGTCTGATAAATCACCATCAAAGAGCTAACAGTTGAAGATTCGAATATCAGGGGTTAAAAATTTATATATCCGATATAAGGTAAATAAAGTATGATTTATAACTTGAGCTACAAGAAATGAGAAAATAAATAGTCGTTAGTAACGATATTGTAAAACACTGTAAGGAAAGCGTTGAGCGTTGAATATGTGACAAGTATTTTTTAAAAGAGTATAAATGATCTTTTGTTCAGATTTTCCATTAGCTCTCAAATTTTCCCCGAAAGACTGACTTGCCAGCATGAAGACTTTCAATGTAGTGAATTAAGCAAGTTTGGTGATAATTAAACCTGTCCGTGTCACATTATTACCTATCTCAAATCTGACAAGTTTCTATAGAACATCACAATGTGACTTTCCATACACGTGGAGGGTAAATGGCTCTCTTCTGACACATGAACAATCATCTCCTATTAGATGCATTTTCATTTGATAACATTTTATAACACATATGGCGCGAAACCTGCCACCAACAGCGTTTAACATATTAGCTTAAGATATATGTAATTTAAAGGCTAAATTACTTTTATTTATGGATAGAGCATAATTTTCCTTGTGAAAGCAAATTTCACAGAAAATATTTGCTGATAATATGCTAAGCAAAGTAACATACATCCACTACAATTTTGTTAAATTAGGATATTTGAAAGACCTATCGACTTCCAATGGTATGGAATGTCTTTAACCGAAAATATCATTTTCTTGCATCAGTTATTGTCAAATTTGATACAAACTATCCTTTCTAGAAAACAAACTATGGCACTACTAACATCAAATATTTTTTCTGAAACTTCAGCACTGATTAATAAATAAGTGTATTTTCCATACCTTACTTACTGACCGACAAGCTATAACAACAGCTTTAAAACGGTTACAGTACTATACAATGAATACTAAACTTTTACAAAGATCAAGCAAGAATCTTTATATATATGAGAAATAAGTCAAATATATCAACTATTCGATAAAATGGCAACATTGTTTAACCAGTTTACTTTTGAAAGAACTGCTTACAAAATTACAAACTGTGCTTACATTATATATTTTGAGGCATCTCGATTTCACTTTGATCGAGTTTAATATTCTGTATTTTGTGTTATTGGAATTTCTGACACAGTGGGGTATTGAAATAATGATAAATGTTTGCTTTTGGACATAAAATGTTATCATTGTTTGATGTTCAAGATTCTAATAGTTGAAAAGGCTGATAGCATATTATTCAAGCTTTCACCGTAACAAGTGAACGCATTAATAACAGATTGCCAAATTATTTACCGTGTGGCAGTTTGCTGATGTAATTGCTTCAATGAGATCATGACGTTAATAATTAAGAAGGATGAGATGGTAATTAAAACTCTTAGTAGAATCACCTGTCTGTGTAGACTTGGTAGGGCATTTCACATGTAGTTCAGATTATCGTTTTTCTGATCAAAGGTCGTATGTGAGGGATTTGTTAGTACTATAACTATCATTGAAGCAAACACAAGAAGACCCTTTACACCTTTTGTCAACCTTTAAACACCTCTTAACGGACGATGATATTCGACCCCTCCTCTCTCAATTGGGCTAATTTAAATCTAAAGATGGACTTTTATGTTGCAGTTAGAACCCAAACGAGTACGCGTGCTTATAATTAAGGGGATATTAAACAAGCTAATATAGAGGTAATGGAGAAAGTGGCTAAACGGGGTCGAAAATTTCAAGATATCACGTACTTGAATCCTTATAACGTGCTGCGGAAATACGCCGATCGGGTTTACAGGGTATTCATTTCACAATAACTTCATTTAATTTGAATAGAGTATATTATACTTTTCTAATTTGTCAACGATCGTAGCCCCAAATTGCTTGTTTGGTTATTTGTTTTTCAAGAGGCGAGAAAGTGTAACTAGCTTCAGTACTGAACACGTAGCGTAGGTCAGCACCGACTGTTAAACACTACTTTCTATTAAGGGTGTTTAACAACACGAATTAGTGAATAGAAAGATCAGAGACAAGGTTAACAATTACTGGAGAATGAAACTGATATTAGCCGAGAAGCCATGGCAATAGCAAGATGTTTCACGTACTAAATTCCTGGCTTTGTGTTAGTGATACGTACAATGAGCTGGGTTAGTCCGTCACCTAGTTGTTCACTCACGTTCTTTTATTCACCCTTTCCACCCAGTTCAAATCATCCAAACTTTACTTCTAATCTGTTCCCACACCCAATAATATTACAGGCTTACAAGAAGGAGTTCTTTGGGATGTACAATGTACAGTACGTTACAAACCATTTCCAACTTCAATTTAAAATTTCAAAATTGTATATCCTGTCGATTTTAGCAGATGGTGATTGTGAAAAAAGAAAACCATCGTTGTTAATTAAAGTTTGAATGCTACTTTGAAAATGTCTTAACCAATAAAATGTCTTGAAAATCCAGATATTATGTACCGCGGTCACAAAAATCAAAATATAAAGGTTTTCTTTCATTTGTTTTGTGTATCGGGGACACTGATAGCTTCAAAATATGCTAAATCACATAAGGCCCTTCGCGATTAGTGACGTCATCAAACAGATAGTTTTAGTGAAATTGCAGGAACCACAGAGGACTGATTGAAAATTGGACATGGACATTAGCTGACATGGAAAAAGCATTTTGTCGTTCGGACAATAAACCGAGACCCCATGTGCTTCAGTCTGTGCACGTTAAAGATCCCTCGACAGTTGGAAATCGAAAAGGAGCAAGCTAATGCCGCTGTCCTGGAAAAATTTCCCACGCATAGCATTGCCCATCTTTATTAGTACATTTGGTGCAGAAAAGTAGGACGTAAAACTCCATTCATTTCATTTCTTCAACCGTCTTAGTAGATATAGTTCTCTATCTCACTGATACATCTTTTATAACCTAATACTATTATATATATCATTAAGATCTCCCTTATTGAGACAACTTTAGCAACAACAAAAAACTATTAAGAGTTTATTCTAAAGTTTTGACGAGGGTGGGATAATTTTTCCTAGCTCAAGTACCCATTAATCAACCAAGAATTCTCTTATTCAAATAAAAGTGACAATTTAAGCGAAACATGTCTGAATGCTTTTCTGTTTTGCCAATTATTCACTTATTTAACATGCCCCTATTAGGCAATTGGTTTTTATTTTTTCTATCGCCTACCGCATGTTCATTGACAGGTGCCCAAATAAGCAATTGTTATCTAAGTAGATTTTCAAGCACTTATGCCTAAAGATATATATACTTGAAAATGAAAAACGTCACCCCGAAACTCCTACACATTTTGATGAAATACTTGAAAATCTTTTAATAACACATAATTAAAATATTCTATACCTGTAGACTGTCAGTGTGTACAGGTTGTGGTATAAAGGATCTATCACAGGCCAGAATAAAAGAAAGAAAATAGTACGAATGAAGAAGTGCTCATTATGTTGAGTTTAAAAACTTATGAAAAATTTCAACAAGATAGAAAAATAAACACTAGTAAAGTGGCAATGTGTCATTTAAAGATATGTTAGAATTGTAAGAATTGAATATAGGATGACTGTATGCAGTCCTATTGAATATAACCTCTTGTTTTATGTTGAGTCTCTCGTAGCATGATTCGGCCTGGTAAAATCAACGAACTGTCACCAATTACAGAATGTAAGGTGTTTATTTTATAATAGTGAAGAGATTTTGATATCTTCTTGTAGCATTTAGTAACGTCTTTATTGTTCTGCCTATTCTTTACAAGTCTATGTTAAGCACGTTGAGTAAACTACTAATTACATTCACTAGTTTTAAATGAGATTAATTCACACTGTTTTCTTCATGTGAAAATAATTTACCACTAATTCTGCGTTAAAACCAGACCTAATTTCCGCTTAAGCCATAGTCGAAATATTGGGAACGTGCGTCCCTTCAAATACAGAGTCTCGCTTGAATCAATACCTGAATACACAACGGAATTTTCATTAGAGAGACACATTACGCCTGATATCTAACCAAGCTATTGCCGCGTGTATTCTGGTTCCAATAAGTTACAGAACTTTGCAGGGAAAAGCACGTGCAACAAGCATAAGCGTGCGTATTACTTCCGGTGACATCGTCAAGACTGAAAGCAAAGTTTCGATTTTCAAGATGGCGATATGAGTTTCTGATAAAGACAGGAAAATAGGGAGAAATGTAAATATTTTGGTGGATTAATGGTAAACTTATGAGTGTGTAATAATGAATAAAGTAGGGAATAATAACATACTAATAATGGCAATATTTTCTATAATAATGATTAATCTGGCAACACTGTCTTTCAATCAATTCACAATATTCCATTATTAGAAAATATTTTCTTCCCAATGCAAATCTCATGTTTATTGAATATGATTTAACCGTGCGATGTCTTTTAAATAATAATCTTTTCTCATACATGGATTGCTTCGTGGGAAAAAGTGTAGGAAACAGTCAATCTGCCAAACTAGATTAGAACGATTCATTCCTTACATTCAGTTATGGTATCAGTTAGTCGTTGAATACCAAAATGTAAAACTTGTATAGGATGTCTTCAGACGTAAATTATTGTTCTTTCCATATTCCAGGAAGTACCGAAAAAGGACAAAGAGAAACGACCCAACCCAATTTCTAAGAGTCCGTGGATTTTGGGTATGAATTTTAGATAGGCCTACCTTTATGTATACCAATAAAAATGAATACGAACCTGAGTTTCAGTTAAACTTAATTTCCCAGCCAAATCTTTTCTTTCTTGACCAACAACGTAATGATTTTTTTCAAAAGCATCTTCTAGTTTTAATAATTGTGATGGTGAAAAAGCTGTTCTGATTCTTTTTGGTTTTCTATACGGGTGGAATAACATGCTAGCATCGTGGACACCTGGAAGTAATCAAAATACAAAATCATTTCTTAGCAGATAGTACCAGGGATTTATGAACAATATTATAGTGCTATTCTGGTGAATATATCATTTGATTGGGTGCACATTTCGACTTTAAAACTCACGATATAACTAACAGAATTCGACACTCGTATCAGAGAATAACCATGTTAATCAAATTGTATTGCTCTATAAATACAAAATACAAGACAAATCTGCAGACCTGTACATTCCTAGAGATATCCTCTGTATACGATGTAAGTATTTGTCAAAAAAGAGTTTCAAATGTCTAATCGAAAGTAATAGATGCAACCTACACGCGTAATGTTACAAAATAATTTAATCATAAAAATTGTGGTGAATTTAAAAGAAAACATTATGCCGCAAAAACCAGGACCAGCTGTCATAGAGCTGAAAACTCAAGCAAAAAAATAAGAAAAGCTACATTAGAAAGTTGACGTTTAAAATTTCGGTTGATTTAATAACGATTTAGATATGACACCCAGCGTGGAAGATGGTTGAATCTCTGGGTTCACATGACTTATTTTGATGAAAAATAATTTATTAGTAATTAGTAACATACGATGTTAGGTATTGTACACCATTTTAAACTAATGGCTAATAAATTTCTTACCAGTGAACCTAAAATGTTCTTAATGCCTCATTACGTCATGACAAAACACTTTAAGATATTAGACGTTTATTAGATGCGCACACAGGTATTTTCACAGCATTTCTCAACTCGCAACTAAAATAATGTTTAATTCTCCGTGTTAAAATCTATTATCACATCATAATGTACATACAAGCTAATTTAAACCTGATATTCATAGGCGATATTGTGAGCAGAGACGTCATTTATTACTTTCATATTTCAATATGCGTCAAATTAAATTTTAAATATTTTTTGTATCTGAACTATAATAGTTATACATCATCATTTCTTTCAAGTTGCACCTAAACACATCCTAAAACAACCGCGTATTCATTTGGTTCAAATAACACCCTCAGATAAAGAATAATTTATTGTTTTATGGTGAAAACAAATGTAATGTAGCCAGGTCTATCTAGAATAGTCAGACCACCAGAGTGGGAGTAGGTACCATCTTATCTCACATCAGGCGTATTTTTCATCTCATAATTCTAACCTTTATCATGTTAATCTTGCTACGTTACAAATTGTACCTACTCCTTTCTAAATAGTTTAACTTAAGAATTAGAAATAGTTTAAATAATACTGAAGGGAAATTTAAATTCTGAAACGATGCCAATAAATATTATTTTGGTGAACTTGATAAACTCTTCCTTGGTAGAGCTCGGTCCATAAAAATATAATGACACAATATATATTTGACAACGTTAATAAAATAATTAACCTTAAATCAAAGGTATACCACCTCTTAGGATGACCAAAATATTTAAAATTTTGACTTAAATGGGTCTTTGTACATTAGTGGACTTACCTGGTGTAATAACTAACAAAACTAAGTAATAATTCATTAAACTGTGTAATTTTGAAACACGCTTAGAAACGGATTGGATTCATGGTCTTAGATAGAGATTCTATTCTTTAGTCATGTCACCTGGTAAGTCCAACTGATGAATATAATATAGGCGACACTTTTTTGGTTTGAGACTTTAAATTTTATGTTTATTCTAAAAGATGGTGTATCTTAAAAGTTTTTGTTAAAGTGATACTACGTCTTAGAATTAACATAAAATTCAAGAATTTTAAACTTGGCCAAAAAAGAGCCAGTAAATATACCTGGTGTCATAAATAACATAACAGGATCCTTTTATAATCCGATAAATCCAAAAAACTTAATTATCTATAAATATCAATTAAAAATTGAAAAACGCTTAATATCAAGATTAAGCATTTTTCAATAATTACTTAGTGTTATGAATTTTCCAATTTCCAGATTTTTCAGGGATTCTGTTGTAACTTTATGACACCAGGTAAGTTCACTGATGAATATATACTCATATTGACCATTCTTGAGAATTCAAATTTGATGTTCATTCTAAGAAGTAATATCACTTTAAAGGATATAACAATAAAGACCCATGTGTAACCTTCCCATTCATTCGCAGTAATATTTCTTGATCAGTCTCTAATGTTTACATCACTCACTTGTATATATGCATGTTTTTCTTATGAGGATTGTTCTGTTAAAGGCAAACTAATAACCTTTATTGTCTTTTATTGTGGACATCACGATAAAATGACAAATTTTGCATCTTTTGTGATTCCATAAATTCTCTATAAATGTACATTGTTTATGGCAACAAATGACTTTAAATGTTCAAAAAAGCTAATATTTAATACGAAACATGTTAGAAAAATTTTGTACAGGTTACTTCATTTGAGATCAGGGGTAATATTATTTTTGTGTTTTGTTCAATTCGATCAAGATAAGAATAATTTAATTACTATCACGGTATCCCAAGACTCCGTGGTCAGTCTGATGGTCATTATGTGGTCACTTTCTATTTGATATGTCGATTATGTTATCTGAAACAGGCACTGTTTTATCAGTAGAGTATCAAGCAATGTCAAATTAGAAATATTTATGGAATTTTGTATTGTTACAGTAAAATTCATGCAGAACCTACATCTATTGAATTGTCCTTGCCTTAATACCATCTATAGGGGAGATTGTGTGTCCAATGGTATTTTATTTTGTATTTGTATTTTATAAATGAATAATAAAACTTATAATTCTGTCTATATTTATTCATGTGTATATTATATTTTCTGTTATATTTGCTTTCTGAACAATTTGTGTGTAATTTAAATGGAATTTGATCGTGTTGCCAACGTACTATGTCCATTGAATTCTAATTTGGTAGGTATATTTCCTACAGAAATTCCAAAGAGTCATGTAAAACCTTTAGATAGTTAATTTAAGTTTCAAATAACATGACACAATCTGTTTCATCCTAATTTTTAACTTTTAACTTTCTATATTTTGTTTCTATGGTAAATGTAATAAATTAAAATTCATATAGATTCTGATGGCAATTGTTAATTTATAGTGTAATTCATTTTAAGAAAGATTTCGTACGAAAATTTTTTTAAACCAGTTTTCATTTTAATTGTTAATATTAATATTTTCACCTAACACCTTAATTTTGAATTCTTTTTTTATAAAAAATTTTCAACCAGGATGTTTCCGTACGTTTCAATAATTAAGTTGAAATATTTTCTAGTATTTTAAAAGATAACTTGCTTTTTCTTCATTTTCTTACTTGCTGCCATAGAATACTTTGAAATATAAACTCGCTCTTGAATTTTTAAGCTTGTCTTTAAAAGAAAAAATGATTTTGATAACTTCTTTATTGTGGTGCTTGTTATTTCAATAAAAGAATTATTTATTCAAAAGTAAAATTTATATTTGGTAGATACTCTATTAAAATGAATAGATATCATTTAAACGGCAAGTTTTCATTATAGATTATTTAAACTTCGAAAATACAGTATTTTTTTTTATTTCAAGATTGCCTGTGATAGAAGTATTTATATCTGTGTATAAATGGGGTAGAATTATACATTATGGTAACACAATGATTTCTTATAAAAAAACAATAACTTTCGGATATTTTAATGATTTAAGTTATCAAAAATTTACTAAAATAATATTAGCTATGAAGATACCGAGCTGACATACTCAGTCGGAGAGCGGCACAATGTAGGGTTTGTCCCTATTTTTCATTATATCAGTTGTCCTTGCTGGAAAGTTTGGGAGTGGTCTTTTGCCATTGACTAGGAAATAATTGGCAGTTTCGAGAATTATTAAGGACAAAATACTATTTAAATGAACCAAAAGAATACATGTGAGGTTCTTATCTGTATCTTATGTCTATCAGTTATTGAGTGTCATTTTCTTAGTGAAAATATGTTAAAATTCTAGACTCCAATAATATTGTCAGGTTACTAGGAGAATCCCTAGAAATCTAGATCTAGCCTACACGGATGAATAACTGTCAGAGTGTTATTAAAGTTCAAAGCATTCTTTATACACAGTATGACTATTCAAAGTCTTTTATTGATTAAAAAGTGGATAGCAGACTAAAAATCTTAGAAATAGACTTTGTGTAAGCAATGCATGTAGCCTTGCAGCAATTCAATGTAATGTTTTCCCCAATACTATAGGTTAATTGTAAAGGAAACACCTATTAAAGCAAAGTCAAGCTTTTTCAAGGGAAACTTGCGTATAGTACGATACCATTTCGTTAAGTATAAAGGTGAAACAAAATATAAAACTCACCTGGAAATGGATAACTAAAACAAGGATTTTGTCTGGTCATTAACAGAGGGTAGAGATGTAAGGACGGATCACGAGGTCCGTGTAAAAGATTAGGATTAACAGGAAGGTTATTTGGAATTAATGGATTATGTGACAGATGCTGCATTGTTTCTAACTGAGAACCCATCAGTCCCCATGCTGAACGCAGAGCTAGTAGTTCCTGATTCACACTATTATCTGGATACACATTTTTAAAGTTTATGGGTAGTCCTAAATGTGGTGGAGGTACACGTCCCATGAGACCCATGCTACCCATGTTAAATGTCTGTACTCTGGAATGCTCACTTCCGGTAGAACTTGACGACAATTTACTAGAAACTGTTGTCTTAGATTCTGTAGTTTGGGGTCCTATTAATGAGTCTATTGAAAATCCGGTCGATCTCTTCGCTGTTGGTACCACTGGCTTCATCCTGGTAAAAAATTTCCCATAGAATTTAAAACCTTTTAAATTAGTATCTTATTCCGAGTATTATTAAGTTGTAAACTATAAATACAGTTGTTTGAACTTTGAACTTGCGATTTGATCGATACACCACAATAATAATTGACGTGTCGATTTTAGCTCATTAACCGAGCATTGTTAATTATAAAAATCACTATAAATGATCAAAATGTGTATTATTTATTGTCCAATTTGGTCACAAT